ATATAGAATACAGTACTGCTTTTAAAAAACAGAAACTCAAATTCCTTCTAATTATCCTGAGGTACAAGAAGAATAAAATGTAATTATGGTCAATTAAACTATTTAACTCATATCTCTGCACCAGGAGAGTAATGCTAATGAGCTCATCCTAGGAAATTCAACTCACTTGTCACATTCTGATGTTCTAGTCTCATCTGAAAAAGCGCCAAATGAAAATACAGCTGCAAATTTTGAATACGTAGTGAAACAGATAACCTTTTGATTATTCATATAATTAAGAGGTTTGCTAGTTTTTAAAATGGGAGTAAATGAGGAATGTTTATTTAAATAATGACATTTGGTAGACACTCAATTTGACCACCAACTACCTCTAAGCTTAACCTGGATCCAGGACTGCAGACGGGTTTGGGGCTATACAGGTAGTCCTGAGGCTCTGCCTGCAGTTCACTTTACAAAAGTGGGTTCAAAGTGTGAAAGTAGAGTCCTATTTTTTTAATTGGCTTTTGGCTTATTCTGAACCAAAGGTCCAAATTCTGAAAACTGCAGTCCAAAGGTAATATCAAAAGTGTACAGATGGGGCTTCCCTGGTGGCGCAGTGGTTGAGAGTCCGCCTGCCGATGCAAGGCACGCAGGTTCGTGCCCCGGTCCGGGAAGATCCCACATGCTGCGGAGCAGCTGGGCCCGTGAGCCATGGCCGCTGAGCCTGCGCGTCCAGAGCCTGTGCTCCGCAACGGGAGAGGCCACAACAGTGAGAGGTCCGCGTACCGCAAAAAAAAAAAAAAAAAAAAGAAAGCAACATGTTCTGCATAAAATATAAAGGATTACTGTATATCCTTCCAGACTAGACAGCTTAACACTATTATAGACATCTGTATTCCAAAACTGTTAAATTCACTAACAGTAGTAAATTCACTAAAGAAATTAGTTGCTTTGAAAAATATGAAGAATGTTTCATGAGGGTAATAATGGCCTATATTGTACTTTGGTACAGAAGAAGGATGATACACTCTTTTTAAAATATTTTTCAAATATCTGAAATTGACCATCTAATATGTTTTTTCATGAAAATTATAGTTATTTGCTCATTTATTCAACAAAGACTGATTGGACATCTATTATGTGCTAGTCCTATGCTAAGTATTAAGGATAAAAATAAAAAGTAAGAACCTCTGGTCTTATGGAACTTCAAATTCATTTAAAAGCCATCCAGATATACCCTTGATCTAAAAATTTAACATTTTTATAGGGAGGAGAAGAGACATAACTGATAGCTACCTTTCATTTTCTTTTTAAATCTCTATTCATCTAAAACTTATCCAGTATTATTCCTTGTAATAAAGAACTTTTCAGTGAAGAAAATAATCTAGTGGAAAGTAAAAAGAGAAAAGGACTAAAGTGAAAATAAAATGAGACTTTGCTTAAGTTCTTTGCAATTTTACATTTTTATCACATGATTAAAAATTAGAACAACCTTTCTGAGGTAAAAAAAAGAAAACGATATTTGTCACAAACTTTAAAAATCACATATTTTAGTCTGGTAATTCCACTTCATCAAAATCAAAAATGCAAAGATTTGGACACAAATATGTTTATAACTATATGAGAGAAAAACAGAAAAAAACCCTAAATATCTGAGAATGGAAGAAAGATAAAACAATTACAGTTTATCAACATAACAGTCTATTATGCTGTCAATAAAAAGATGTTTGCCAAGAAATTTTAGCGTAGAACATTTATCATATAACTTTAAATGATAAAAGCAGAACATAAAACTATATATATCCTAAGATTAACTATATTAAAATACCTATATGCACAGAAGAAAATCTATAAAATTCTAAAAAATCTATTGGAACTGTGACAAAATATTAACAGTTATCTCTGGGTGAAAAACTGAAATTTCACAATGCATATTAGCATATTCAAAGATTCTAAGGATTCCTCAAGTAAAGAAATATATTTGACTTTCATCACTGATTAATTGTAAAATACATTCGACTTTTAACACACCAATTGGTATAATCACCAATTCAGAAAGTCCAAAAAAAGGAAACATTACATTTAAGTAAGTGGCTAACACTTGTGGTCTCCTGAAATTAATAATGCACTATATTATAATTGGCAACATTCCAACCTTAAGACATTTCTTTCAAACTTTAGCAAGTGTGATTTAGAAGGTTTAATTTCACACACTAAAATCTTTTCTCAAAAGATGCTGAATGCTCACTTTGCTATTAAAAAAAAAGCCTGCAATTAACTAGCTACTTTAAACAGATTTTCTATAGCAAAATAAACATTAAATCTTCTGCAGAAATACTTTGGAGATATTTTTGTAGGTGTAATAGCCAGAAATCAGAAGAGTGAACTTTAGGAATCCAATTACAGAAATGTTGACTTCTCAGGAAAATTTTTACAATCTGAAGTGAGCATGAAAAGCAATGTAAGAAAGTCCTCTGACCAAGGCTAATCACTTTGGAGCTCATGAGTAACATCATAGTACACCATGGACTTAGACCAAATAATGAAACGCCAAATGGAAAATGGCACAAGTCCATGGACTGTAAATACTGTATCAAAAGAAAATAAAGGAAAAACTCTTTCATTAGAGCAATTAAAAGTGCAGTTGTAGTACCAGTTCCTATGATGAATAAATCAGTTCAGCAGTTCTAAGAGTGGACAGCCACTGTTTAAACACATTCTTCACTGGCAATAACTTTAAGTTTAAAAGCTGCCTGTAGGTTTCCTTAGCTCCTAAACTTTTTTAATCACTAAAATGTTTTAGGATGGTGCAGTTGGTTATAGCCCTATCCCCTGAAATTTTCACATGAGGCATTTAATGATTAGGTGTCTACCTGACCCATTATATTATGTTACGGTACCCAATAAAATACAGATAAATACTGCAAATATTCATACCAATATCAGTATTCATACCAATCAATGTCCCCGAACTTTAGACCATAAGTTCCAAAGAACTGAAGTTTCTACTAACCCAACATCAATCATTCTTCATTCTATAATTCCATTTGTCAAATTATTCATACGAAATGAGCATGTTCTGCTACAGAGCTTCTGAAAAACCCCAAAGTTGAGCTTTCAGTAGTAAATTTGAAAATGTTTCAAAAAGAATTCAAAATCACATTAAGCAGCCTAAACTAGCAGTTAGTCCTTGGGAATGTTCTTATCTCCAGGGTACCGTTTCCCAGCCTAAACTTACAAAACAACTGTGTTCTATAAGACGCTAACAAGTGCCTGCTTCACTTAGCTTTTGCTAATGACCATAAAATTTAGTGGCTCAAAATAACTTTATTATTTCTGACAATTCTGAGGGTTAACTGGTTTCTCCTGGTTGGGGCAAACTTTGATTGGAGTGGGATAGTCTAGCATGGCATCACATGTCTGACAATTGGTGATGACTAGAATGAGGGGATCTCAAGTAGGAGGGCTCATCCCTGTTCACACAGTCTCTCATCCTCCAGGAAGCTAGTACAGATTTCTTAACAAAGCTAATGCAGTGGCAAAGACCAGCAAGAGAAGGCAAGCCCTAAGCGCTTTCAAGCCGGCTTGCATTATGGCTGCTAACACTCCACTGGCCAAAGCAAGTTACATGGCCAAGTGCAGATTCAAGGATGGAAAACTTGACTCCCTAGCGTTTAGAGTAGGAGCTACAAGACTGCAGTGCAAAAGGGCAAACACAGTGAAGGGAAGAATTTGTGGTCATTTTTTGCAATCTACCACACTGCAAAATGCTGCAAGTCTCTGCTCCACGTGGTCCATGGTGAAATAAGTTTAAATAACAGCTCTCTTTTGACACTTCAAAATACATATTGACATATTACAATATAATATAATGCAGAACACACTGCCAATGCTTGTTTCAATGTTCATTTTCTAAAAATATTAATATATTCAAAGAAAACTATAAAGCCATCCCCCACTCCCGAATATTAGGCCCATGTGTGTCACAGGTGACGTAACAGGCGGTCCATGCATAAAAGGTAACATCTGTTGCCCTTGTGGTGATCTCACTGAAAACTCTGCAGAGACAGTCAATGATGAAGTATATGTAAAAGAACCCAAGGAAACATCAAGCATCATTAGTAGAAAGTATCATAACTAGAAGATTTTTTTTTGTTCTAAAATTAGCCTAGTTGACATTTTCTGGTAAAACTAAACATGGAATTAGTATACAACCCAGTAACTGTACTACACTTGGGTATTTGTTCCAGAGAAATAAAAACTTATATTCACACAATACCTGTAGAAAAAATGTTCATAAAAGCTTTATTCATAATAGCCCCAAACTGGAAACAAGCCAGATGTCCTTCAACTGGTGAATGGTTAAACAAACCGTTGTACACATATACCATGGAATACTACTCAGCAAAAGAAAGGAACAAACTATTGATATAAAACAACTTGAATGAATCACCAGGGAATTACAGTAAGTGAAAAAAACTAATCCTAAACAATTATATAATGTATAATTCCATTTATATAACACTTCTGAAATGACAGAATTTTGGAAATGGATGCATGAACAAGGTGGGTGTAGTTATGAAAGGGCAAAGCAAGGGATTATTGTGGTGATGGAAATCCTCAGTATCTCGATTCTGGTGATGGATACACAAAACTTTACATGTAATAACACTGCACAGAACTAAATACACAGACACAGACACACACGTACACATAAATGAGTACAGGCAACACTGGGGAAATCTGCAAAAGGTCGATGATTCTATCAATATCCTGCTTGTGATATTGTATTATAGTTTTGTAAGATGTTACCATTGCGGGAGGGACTGGGTAAAGGATACATACGCTCTCCCTAAAGTATTTCTTACAACTGTACTAAATCTACAATTATCTCCAAAAAAATTTCAATTAAAAAAAATTCTTTTTAAGTTTAGCTTAGGAAGGTAGTTTCCCTGGGGTCTTAGTTTCTTTCAAAGTTTAATTCAAACAGTGTGGCTAGCATGAGGGTACAAATGACTTACATTTGGGACATCAATTGCTACCTCCCTCATGGCACTGGGCCTGATGTCATTCATCCCCTGCAAGAAATCTTTCAGAGTAATCTTCACCAACCCAGCCATCTTGCTGTCAGGGAGGTTAGGGTGTTTCCTCAAAACTCTCCTCAAGGCATGAAGACCTGTAAAGAGAAAAGTAACACAAGCTTTGTCTTCCACCTCATAAATACACACTGAACCATTACCAATAAAAATAATAACAAAAAACCCAAAGCTCATGCATATTATAACATTGAAAATTTTGTGTGCTTGTGCACGTGCGTGAGTGTGTGTACAGTGGCGGGAGGGTGGGGAGGGAGAAGGGATAACGTGGGGGATGAAGGCAAAAATCTAAATGCTTAGTTTTGGTGGTAAAAATATGACAAACTGCTATGAAATACGAAAAGACAGATATTTTACATATGTGAAATAAAATTTACAAAACAACTTCCGCAAAAAAGACCATAAAGGTTTGTCAAAATAATCTGTTTGGAGAATTTCTTTGAAAAGAGTAAAATATTAAACCAGTAACATACCTTTCGCCCTGCCCTTTTTGTTAATACACACAAACCAGAGTTACAAGTTTTGTAAGGTATTGGCAGAACATCTTGAAGGAAATGTTCAGTTGGCAGTTAGAAATGTGGTTTTGGAATTCAAGACAGAATCAAACTTCAGAGTTATGTATATACACATGAGATCTGATATTATAGGAGTAGAAGAGACCTATAAAAGGGAAGCTAGAGGGATCAGGGATGGAAGAATGAGGGTTGACGTCTCAATCTTAGGGAAGTCGATCATTTGAGGAGTATAGGAACAAACGATGGTTTAGGCAGAGATAGAGAAGTAGAATCAGAATAGTAAAATACCACAAAGCCAAAAAGATGATCAACCAAGTCAAATTTAGAGAGATGCAAAATAACTTAAAAGAGATCATGCTGACCTAAAACATTACCTACGTTAGGTTCTTTGTTTTTGCTGTTTGCTTGGAGTTTAAGCACTAATAGGACTGAATGCCCCAAGCCATCCTCCCATCCAAGTTCCCAGATTTAGAGCCCCTTTATCTATGACAAAGACCTCTAGTCTAGAGGGCAGCAAAGTCCCTATGTGTTCTTTGCCTGAAGGTATTTTGTAATGAAGTGCTATATTTGTGTTCTAGTACACAATGAAGTTCCACTTTGAAGAATTTTAGTCTCAGAGACCTCTTAGAAATCCAGTCTGAACAACTGAACTTGCCCTGGGACACCAACAAGCTCCATCATTTTTAATGTCTTTTGTCTAAAATGTTATGCCTCAGTGAATTTTTACTAAATTTAAATACCATAATTGTCATCTTACTTGGCTTCATTTATTTGAACTTTGAAACAGAAGCATTGGTTCAAGGAAGGAAAACACAAACTGCCCCAAACAGAGGTTTGGATATCTTTGACTACTAAGGAAAAACAGTGAATAATACACCACTCAGAAAATAGATCCACAGTAATCTTTCCCAAGGAAAGCTATCATTGCAAGTCTAATATTCATGGAGGTCTCCGAGACAGTAGGTTAACCAGAAAAAAAGCTACAAAAGAGGAAACTGAAGATATATGTAAAAAGATCACTATTTTCTATGGAAAATTTCTTAGGCCATACTCTGCAATCTGAAATCTATGCCACTTATTTAAGTCTATCTTACAAATACCTATATGGTTTTCTGCCTTCCAAAAATGTTGAAAGATAATTCTTCACATCTCTCACATTTCTGCTTATCTTTCCAGCAGAAGCACTAACTGCCTCTGTTCAGACTATCTTTTCAAGGATGTCTGTGTACAGGAAGACAGAGTGTCTCCCTCCAAAGCAAAGGGCAGATATGCTTACTGCCCATTTCAAAAGATTAAGGTTCCCTAAGCTCAAGGTTCTCCTGTAATGCCACCTCATAAGGACTCAGATGTCACCCAGCCCTTTTTGTATCTCTTTGTGAGAAGTGAGGCTCCGGGAGCTGGTGCAAATGCTGCTTCTCTGGCTACTTCTGTTGCTGTAAGTAGTAGTCTATCCTTTGACTCTGACCCAGGAATACTGTGTCTTTTGAAAGCACTTGTGAAACTTGTTAAATTGCAATTAGGGTAAAATCGCAAACCTTCACAGTTCTTGACATGAAAATAAAAGTTTACTTTAAATTAGGTTGTTTCACTGCCCAACATACCTTTCAAATGGTGCAATCATAAAAAAGTAAATAAATAAATCCTCAGTAATAAGGCACTGTGTTGTATTAGACAGCACCTTGGTGACCTGAAAGAACTAAAGCAGTTCTAAAAAATCTTACATAAATGGAAGTGATCAAAAGACCAAAAGAATCTAACACTTCATGTCCCAAATGGCTGTCTGGCAATACTTGTCAATATTTCTAATTCAGACCAGATACCTTACTCCTACCAGTACTGATATACTAGAAACTGAAACAAAGGAAGTGGTCTAATAATTTTCCCACATTTACGTCACAAGGCATAAAGTGGGACAATAAAGGAGACCGATTATTTTCATTTGAGAAAGGGATTTGGAAAGAGCAGCAGCCACTCATGAGGCAGGGACTGGCAGCCTACTGAGCTGGGGACAGCCCTGCCTCCAAGTAAGTCAGAAAGGGAAAGACAAATACCATATGATACCACTTATATGTGGAATCTAAAATATGACACAAATGAACCTGTCTATGAAACAGAATCACGGAAATAGAGAACAGACTGGTAGTTGCCAAGGGTGAGGAGGTTAGGAGAGGGATGGAGTGGAAGGCTGGGGTTAGCAGATGTAGGCTTTTATACAGTAAGTCCCCTACATACGAACCTTCAAGTTTCGAACTTTCAAAGATACGAACATGCATTTGCATGTCTAATCACGTAAGTCTGTTCACGTGTCTGGAATACATTGTAACATGCATGCATCCTCTACAACAGGTTGAGCTTTTGTGTACTTTACTGTAGAGTACTGTATAGCAGCCGTCCCCAAACGTTTTGGCACCAGAGACTGGTTTCGTGGAAGACAATTTTTCCACAGACCGGTGGGGGGGGGGGGGGGGATATGGTTCAGGCAGTAATGCAAGTGACGGGGAGCAGCAGATGAAGATTTGCTTGCTTGCCTGCCGCTCGCCTCCTGTTGTGCAGCCCCGTTCCGGGACCCCTACTGTATAGAGTACAGTAGTACAGTATCTTTATTTCAAGCCCAGGATGTTGGGAAGCAAGTGTGAAAGCAGCAGTGATATAGGTGGTACTGCTAAGAAACGCCAAGCAATAACGATGGAAACAAAAGTGAAAATAATTGAGAGTGGAGCGACAACAGGAAGAATAAGAAACTGAAGAACCGAAGAGATTCACGACACAGGAAATGGCAAGGGGATTTTCTTTATTTGAGGAGGCACTGTTAGTTTTTGAGGCACAGGACGCAAACATAGAACAGTACAGGAAGGTTGCAGCCGCCATTCAGAATGCAATCCAGTGCTTGTCATCTATGACAAGAAAAAAAAGAGCTACTACCCGGACGTCACTGGATCGTTTTTTCAAGAGGGTAGATAGAATTGAATCCAGCAAGGAACCAGAACCTGTGCCATCGACGTCAGGCGTAAGTGAAATTGCAGCTTGCCCTCCGTCTCCTACTGCTGACGATCCTTCAGCTCTGACATCTCCCACCTCCTCTCCCTCCTCTAGTCAGTAACTCTTCTTGCCTGTTCACTCAGCGCCAGCCCCTGTATGCCAGCTGTTGTACTCTACTACTGTACTTTTCAAGGTACTGTACTATAAGATTAAAAATGTTTTATTTTTTGTGTGTTTGTTTTTTATGTATTATTTGTGTGAAAAGTATTATAAATCTATTACAGTACAGTACTATATAGCTGATTGTGTTAGTTGGGTACGTAGACTAACTTTGTTGGACTTACAAACAAAATGGACTTACGAATGGGCTCTCGGAATGGTACTCATTCGTATGTAGGGGCCTTACTGTATATGGAATGGATAAGTAGCAAAGTCCTACTGTATGGCACAGAGAACTATGTTCAATATCCTATGATAAACCATAACGGAAAAGAATATTTTTTAAAAAGCGTATATATATACATGTATGTATAACTGAATCACTCTACTGTACAGCAGAAGTTAACACAACACTGAAAATCAACTATACTTCGATTAAAAAAAAATAAAACTGTGTCTTCTGCAAGCACCCTTAGCAGTCAGCCTCACCAAAACAGAAGGACCTATGCAGCTCATGTAGGGCTCACACCTTACACCCTAGAGTGACCAGGGTCCCCAATCCCTGGGCTGGGGACTGTTAGGAACCGGGCTGCAGGCAGGAGGTGAGTACCGGGCGAGCGAGCAAAGCTTCATCTGCCGCTCCCCATCGCTCGCATTACTGCCTGAACCATCCCTCCCCCCTACCACACGCGAAAAAATTATCTTCCAAGAAACCAGTCCCTGGTGGCAAAAAGGTTGGGGACCACTGCCCTAGAGCATATAGCTCTAGTGACCAGAGGGGAGTGTGCTGCTGGGCCCCATAGAATGTCACCTACAAAAGGCCACTTCTCCAAAATCAGCCAACATAACTGACCTACCCAACACAGAAAAAAAAAAAACAGCAAAATCTGCAAAATGAGGAGACAGAGGAATATGTTCCAAATAAAGGAACAAGACAAAGGACTCAGAAAAAGGGCTAAACAAAGGGGAGATAAGCAAGCTACTCAGTAGAGAGTTCAAGGTAATAATCGTAAAGATGCTCAGCGAACACAGAATGGATGAACATAGTGAAAATTTTAACAGAGAGAAAATATAATGAAGAAAACAAAGGTAAAGAATACAATAACTGGGGACTTCCCTGGTGGCACAGTGGTTAAGAATCCACCTGCTAATGCAGGGGACACAAGTTTGATCCCTGGTCTGGGAGGATCCCACATGTCGCAGAGCAACCAGGCCCGTGAGCTACAACTACTGAGCCTGCGCTCTAGAGCCCACGAGCCACAACTACTGAGCCTGCGTGCCACAACTACTGAAGCCCGCACGTCTAGAGCTGGTGCTCCACAACAAGAGGAGCCACCGCAACAAGAAGCCCATGCACCACAATGAAGAGTAGTACCCACTCGCCACAACTAGAGGAAGCCTGCACGCAGCAACGAAGACCCAATGCA